GTGTGTGTGTCTGTCGGTTTGTCCCTATGTGTGTGTGTGTGTGTGTGTCTGTCCCTGTGTGTGTGTGTGTCTGTCCCTGTGCGTATGTGTGTGTGTGTGTGGGAGTGTGTTTGTGAGTGTGTGTGTGTGTCTGTCTGTCCCTGTACGTGTGTGTGTGAGTGTCTGTCTGTCCCTGTGTGTGTGTGTCTGTCCCCGTGTGTGTGTGTGTGTGTATGTGTGTGTGTGTGTGTGTGTGTGTACCGGGGCTGTACAGGATGTAGTCCACTGTCTGGGCGGTGCGTGAGTGGCAGGTGGTGATCTCCGGCCGGCCCTCGGGCTCCAGCCGGTGATCGTAGGCCGACCGGAGGCTCAGGCCGTGCTCAATGCTCCACCGGAACTCCTTCCACCTGGAGAACAACAAACCAATCACCTTCAGCCACAAAATACTTCAGCAAGACAAACTTTGAGGAAACATTCACAACACAAACTACTCCAAAGCTTCTGTCTAAATCCGAACCAAATAACCAAACCACTTCATTCGTTTTGAATTCGTTTTGTGTTAGAAATGGAAACCTAGAGAACTTTTAACCCTGTAAAGCCAAATGTATTATATTTGATTCATACGGTTTCTGAAATGTTTTGCGTCTGACACCTTTTGCATAATTTAATGATAAAAACTTTGCTTAAAATCCTATTGTACACAATCAGATACACCTGATAACAGGGGGCAGAAGACTACACAAAAAATAATCTGGACTTATCGCATAGTAATAAATCATTAATATAAAAAGTGTATTTCTGTTTTTTCTTTTTAAATATTTTGTTTAAGGCCAAATAAGGAATTCAAACCTCAAAAAAGTCATTTTCTGTTTTGTTTTATTCTTGGATCGGGCTTTAAAGGGTTAAGCCCCATTGACTAATCACAAAGTCCAGACTTTGTTCTCCCACCGTTCCTGCTGAAGCTGCTGCATTTTTTAAAAACTTCCAGGTAAATTTTTTGGTCTTCTGCCCTCCCAGAAAAACAGACATTTTTTTAGACTCCAGCATCTTTGTGCAGGTGGTGCGTTCACTGACAAAAGGTCAAGTGGAGCCTGAAAGGAGTCCCAAATTAGGACTGAGACCCTCCTTACATCGTTGTTAGGAACAACGATGCAGACTGCAGGAAGCCAAGGATGGATTTTCTTGCCTGGGATCTTCCTATTGGTGACCTAATCAAAATGGCCGACTTGGATGTGGGAGGAGCCGGACATCCGACCGAGGCTCCTACAGACTAGACACAGTGGGCAGTGGGCCGACCCTAACCCTAAACCTAACCCTGACCCTGACCCTAACCCTAACCCTAACCCTCCAGCCTTCATAATTGTGAGAAATAATTATATTTTTGGGTTAAACTTGTTTGGACTTATTGTACAAACCTATTTAACATCCACTATTTTAACATAATATTATGGATAGAGTTTAATTCAGTGTTTGCAAGATTCATTTCACTATTTTTAAATGAATGTCTATATTGCCATGAAGCAATTAGGATTTTCTTGCCTGGGATCTTCCTATTGGTGACCTAATCAACATGGCCGACTTGGATGTGGGAGGAGTCTGATATCCGACCGAGGCTCCTCCAGACTAGAGACAGTGGGCAGTGGGCCGACCCTAACCCTAAACCTAACCCTAACCCTGACCCTAACCCTAACCCTAAACCTAACCTTAACCCTAACCCTTCATAATTGTGAGAAATGAATATTTTTTGGTTAAACTTGTTTGGACAGACTAGAGCTAGTGGGCCGTTACCTGCTGGGTCCATCTGGCTCTCCGGGGTCCGGGTCCTGGACCGTTGGGTCTGAGACGGCCGGGGGGGGGCCGGCGGGGGTGAACTTGGGCCGTTTGCTCTCGTACCGACACCGGCGGCTGATGCCCAGCTTCGGGGACCAGATGGGGGACTGGAGGCGGCGCTGACCCCTGGAGCCGCCGCTCAGGAGGATCTCCTGACCCGAAACCTGCACAGAGAAGCCAAACACACCCCCTCATTACTTAATAGGGGTGGAACGGTTCACAACAACCACGGTTCGGTTCGATTCACGGTTTCGTGGTCACAGTACATGTTGATTGTTAGGAAAATTTATTATGTCTTGTATAGTCAGGTTAAAACTGAAAGAAAAAAGAAGTCTGACATTTGATACATTATTGTGACAGTCTGAGGTTAAAAGTAGGTGAGATTCTGGCATTGCCAGTTCCAAAATGTGCTTCATTTATTTAGCAAACAATCTTTAACTCATTGGTTGCCAAAGACGTCTTTTATGTTTTTCAACAAGAGTGGCTGGGGGACGATCTGCTAAAGCTTGTCCGTAAATATCAGCTTCTAGACAGAGTATATAGTAACAAATTGACCCTCTAGGGGGCAGTGCCACTTTTTATGGGAGATGAGCATAGATTGTAGGCAAATAAGAAAAAGGGAACGGTTCGCTATGAGAGAACATGTCGCCGGTGAGACGCAAGTCCAGGAAGAACGGAATAAGGTAGAAACACTTTTTTTCCTGATGAAAGAAGAGAGTTTACTCTTTCTTTTGGTGTGTTCGGTGTTTACATAGTCATAGCACAAACTATTCTGTGGCTCTTGAAAAATCAGTCAAAATGCTCAAAAAACTCTGGCAGTCAGTGAGTTAACAAAGAAGCATAGGCTCTATCAAAACTAGACTTAGGTCCCTTTGTTTGAATTTAACTCAAGATAAAAGGACATGGCTCTCACCATGCCGATCCTCAGCCCCTTGTACTCCAGGCGGCCCCTGGTCAGGAAGCTGTAGAGCGGGCTCTGGGGGGAGGAGTTCAGGTCCCCGCAGAGCAGCACCGGCCGGCTGGAGCCGTCGGGGAGGCGGGACACCCGGCCGATCTCGGCCAATAGGATGGCCAGCTGGGCCAGCTTCACGTCGCCCCGGTGGGGGTTGTAGAGGAGGTGGGTGTTAGCCACGCACACGCAGGAGGACGGGTCCCCGGGGGGGTCCCCGGGGGGGTCCCCAGTCCCAGTGGGCTGCAGCAGAAGGATCAGGCCCACGTTGTCCCTGTCCAGAAGGGCGTCGCCCCCCCGGAAAAACTCCACCGGTTTGGAGGAGAGCAGCGAGAAGCGCGAGGTTTTGAAGGAGACCGCGCAGCCGTCCGGCTTCTTCCCCGTTCGCTTCTTAAACTCACACTGGTACCCTGAGACACACACAATTAAACACACACACAAACGTGTTTTCATTATATATAAGGACATATAACGGAAATATAAACAAATGGTTCTACAGGTCTGAAAATCCCAGTTTCCTATCCATGCATTCAGGAAAGCATCCATCTATTAAGATTTTAGCTAGAGCAACATTTTGAGAAATCCCGAATCAGGCACACACACACACACACACACATATCACACATACACATATACGTGTTTTCCTTATATATAAGGACGTATGACGGAACTAGGACAAATGGGGACGTGTCTTTCCAAAGGTTCTACAGGTCTGAGAATCCTATAGTTTCTTATCCATGCATTCAGGAAAGGATTCATCTATTAAGATTTTAGCTAGAGCAAACAATTTGGTCACGTCTGATTTTTATGCGACATATAGGGACATTATCTGGTTTATATAACTTATGAGGACTATAACCTTTCACACAGTTATTTCATGTGAATTGTCAGACCCGGAGAAACACATAATTTTTACACACATACACACACACAGAGCCGTGTTGTGTACATCTGCTTCCTGATTATTTTGATCCCAACATCCATCCAGCTTGTTAACATATTACATATTAATAAGATAATAATAATAATAATCTTTGTTCTTTGGAGCTGTGACAAAAAAAAAGATGCAAAAACACCAAGTTAAATTTAAAAACACACTTAAACTGCAGGTTGACGCATCTGCAGATGTTTGAAGATTGTCACCTTTTAGCTAAAAAATCTAACATTTACATCCAAAGATGTTGTCTAAAAATGATGGCTGAATATGAGAAGGGAATCACAAGAGCCAGCATTCCTAAAAATAATTCCCAAACTCAGACCCAGAGGCCGGACTCGGTACCTAGTGCCTGGAGAGCCGGTTTGATCTGGGCTTCATAGTGGTCCTGCTGCACCTCCTGGAGACACAGGATCTGGAAAACAGGAAAACAGAGGCTTTTGTCAACTCAGGATAAAAGCACTTTTTTGTTGTCTCCCCCCCATAAAGCTGGAGCCCCTGCCTCCATCTCTTTGTAATTTAGTTTGGTTTGCTTTGCTTTAAGTCCTGTTTTAACGAGGCTGATCCAGGTGAGCCCTGAAACTTTCAAACTGACCACTGAGGGGGAGGGGGGGTCTCACCTGACCACAGTTTTTTAACCTAAATTAAGATTGTTTTTTTTTTTTTTTTACTGGCTGAGAGAGGCAAACTATAATATGGCTGTTCCAGCTGTGAGAATGCCAAATGATGAATGGAGGAAGAAGGAGAAGAAACCAAAGAAAAGTTGAAAATATACCACTGGGCTATACCACTGGGCTATACCACTGGGCTATACCACTGGCCGAAGAGATGCAGAGGAATTCATAGGAAAAATTTGAAGGGGCTAAAAAGCCAGTGACCAGCAGAGGGAGCCATAGTTTTTGCTCCATTCATTTCAATGAGAAGGATAAGGCCTAAAAGGTTAAATATCTTAAAAAGTTGAAAAGATCTGAACACCAAAAGTCATAGCTGCATAATCCATTTTGATACCTTATTTGTTGAAATAGGCTGAAAGGTGTAGGAGTAGTTAGATGCAGAAAAACGTCCAGAATAAGGAATAATAAAGGGAAACAGGAAAACAATAGTGAGAATACCTGTAGGCATTCTCACAATGAGAGAAAATAAAAGCAGAAAAAGTTCAATAACTTAAAAAGTTGAAAAGATTTAAACACGAAAAGTCGTAGCTGCATAGTCCTGAGATAGCTGAACACTTTGATACCTTATTTGTTGAAATAGGCTGAAAGGTGTCATTTCGATACCTTTTAACTCATTGGCTGCCAAAGACGTCTATAGACGTCTTTTCAAATCCAACCGCTGACTGCCAAAGACATCTATAGACGTCTTTTATGTTTTTCAATGCGAGTGGCTTGGGGGACGATCGGCGAAAGTTTTTCCGTAAATATCAGGCTTCTAGACAGAGTATGGACTAACAAATTGACCCTCTAGGGGGCAGTGCCACTTTTGATGGGAGATTAGCATAGATTGTAAGCAAATAAAAACAAACGCAATGGTTCGCTATGAGAGAACATGTCGCCGGTGAGACGCACGTCGAAGAAGAACGGAAAAAGGTAGAAACACATTTTTTTTCCTGATGATAGAAGAGAGTCTACTCTTTCTTTTGGTGTGTTCTGTGTTTACATAGTCATAGCACAAACTATTCTGTGGCTCTAGAAAAATCAGTCAAAATGCTCAAAAAACTCTGGCAGTGAGCGACTCTCTGTTCTGAAAATGGCTGCCAGTCAATGAGTTAATTGAAATAGGCTGAAAGTTGTAGGAGCAGTTAGACGCAGAAAAACGTATATAAGGTAAGGTAAGGTAATATAACGTAAATAAGGAATAATAAAGAGAACAGGAAAACAGGGAGGCGGCGTCTGATTGGCTCACGTCGGCGGCGTGCTGCTGGATCTCGGTGAGCAGGTTGGGCAGCCGGTACTCCCAGGGCAGGTGGGCCGGGTGGCAGTGGCGGTACAGGTAGGCGTTGTCCCGCAGCAGCTCCTGGGACAGGATGTTGTAGGTCATCACCGAGAACTCGAACCCGCCGTCCACCCCCGGTGGCTCCGGCTGGGTACTGCACCACGTCCAGCGTCTGCGGAGAGCTGTAGAAACAACCAGGAATCCCCCAAACCCCCCCCAGATGTGATCAACATCTGTGTGAAGGACTGAGACTCAAAGAGACTCATCTATTTATTTATTTTATATTCCTGCTGAGTCTTGGCAGCCCCACTGTCTTCTAAATGAGTTTACACTTTAATAATTATATATATATATTATATTTTTATAGGACTGAGACTCAAAAAGACTCATCTATTTTTTTTAAATATTCCTGCTGAGTCTTGGCAGTCCCACTGTCTTCTAAATGTGTTTACACTTTAATAATTATATATATATATTATATTTTTATAGGACTGAGACTCAAAAATACTCATCTATTTTTTTTAAATATTCCTGCTGAGTCTTGGCAGTCCCACTGTCTTCTAAATGTGTTTACACTTTAATAATTATATATATATTATATTTTTATAGGACTGAGACTCAAAAAGACTCATCTATTTTTTTTTAATATTCCTGCTGAGTCTTGGCAGTCCCACTGTCTTCTAAATGTGTTTACACTTTAATAATTATATA